CAAATATGAGGTGCTTGTGGTCCAAGGGGACTGAATAGTTTAATAATGTAAATAATAATTTTTACCCTTGCAGGGGGTAAAAAAACAAAACAAAACAAAAACACCTCACTGCCAGTGAGTTGATTCTGACTCAGTGACCCCTTTGGGTTGCTGAGGTGGTAAATAAAGTATATGGAACTCTAACATGATGATTGGTCAGCTTTGCTATCTTGTTAGGCTTAAAATGAGCCATTCCAGAGGCAGAAAAGGGGCATCTCACTACCAGCAAGAAAGAACCAGGAGTGGAGCATGTCCTTGGATGCAAGATCCCTGCATTGAGGTGGCAGAGAGATGGTGGCAGCAGAACCAAGAGATTAGCACAAGACAGAGAGTGAGTGGGCTTCCCAGCCTATGGAGCCAAGTGCCTTTGGGCAAGAGGCTTGGTGGTGAAGTGGAATATCTCTCTGGGCACCTATTGGCAGAGCTAAGAGAGCTTGTAATGTTTGCCCAAGTGGGACAGAGGCTGAGGCCAGAGAGAAGTGTGCCTGTGCCATGGCTGAAAAGAAGCTGTCCTGATTAAAGAACTGTTTACTGAATTTACTGAATTGAATAATTTACTGAATTGTTTCTGATCCTGAATTGTAACCTGTTACTTCTCTAATAAACCCCATAATCGTGAGTATTGTCTGTGAGTTCTGTGTGTTCACTGCAATGAATTATCAAATCCAACAGAAGAGCGGAGAGTGACATGGGAGAACAGTTGGTGTCAGAACTGGTGAAAAGGTTGGAGGGTGGAGGCATGTCTGACTTCTGCCTCACAGAATCCAACCTTGGGCTGGTGATGTTCTGGATTCTCCTTCCCTCTCGTGAAGTTATGAGTCAGACAACACCTCACCTGTGCCATTTTTGTACTCAGTTTCAATAAACTAGGTTTTCAAGAAATTTGTCTATTTGATCTGAATTGTCAAACTCATGGCAAAAGTTGTTTATATCTAATTTTTAATGTCTTCATGATCTGTAGTGATGTCTCATTTTTCATTTTTAATATTGGTTATTTGTGCTTCCTTTCATTTTTCATTGTCTGTCTTGATGCTTAACAATTTAATTTTTAAAAAAACCCTCCTTTGGCTTTGTTGAGTTCTTTATTGTACATTTGTTCTCTATTTCCTTAATTTCTCCTGTTATTGTTTCTTTCTTTGTACTTACTTTGGGTTTGATTTGCTATTCCTTTTCTAGTTCATCAGACAGAAGTTTAGATAATTGATATTTCAGTCTTCTTTTTTCACTGTATGTACTTCCAGCTAGAAATATCCATTTAAGTACAGCTTTAATGGCACCCTACCAATTTGGATATGCCATATCTTTATTATATTTCTGTTAAAATATTTTTCATATTGTTGTGATTTCTTCATTGACTCATGGGTTATTTAGAATTGTATTAACTTCCAAACAGCTTAATCCCACTGTGATCAGAGAAAATGCTCAGAATTATTTCAATCATTTGAAATTTGTTGAAGTTTGTTTTATAACCCTGCATATAGCAAGTTTTGGTAAATTCTTTATATACTTTTGTTCCACTATTAGCTGTTAGGGAGTTCTGGTGGCATGGTGCCTATGGCATCTGACTGCTAACCAGAAGGCTGGTGGTTTAAACCCACCAGCCACTCCTTGGAAGGAAGATTGGGCAATCTACTTCCATAGTGATACCTCCTCAGAAACCCAAGGAGGGGTTGCTATGATTTGGGACCAACTCCACGGCAATGAGTTTGGTTTTGGTTGGATTAACTATAAATCTAGCCTCCAGAATGAGAAGGTATGTCACAATTCTAAGGTCAGACTAGGAAGTGAACTAGAACTAACAAGGAGAAAATTGTGATAACTTCCTAGGCACAGTCAACCACCCTGATGGAGTGAGTTGTTGGACCTGTGGGCTCAGGACAATGGTTGCAGGGGACATCAAGCTCAATTGGCATAACATACTACACAAAAACATTGTTCTACATGCTACTTTGGTGAGTAGCAACTGGGGTTTTAAAAGCTTGCAAGCAGCCATCTAGATGCAACAATGGGTCTATCATCCAGAGCAAAGAAGAATGAAGAAAACAAAGGACGAATGGAAACAACTAGTCCAAGGGACTAGTGGACCATGTGAACCTCACCCTATATAACCATGAGACCAGAAGAACCAGGTAGTGCCCAGCCACCACTATTAACCACTTAGAAAGGGGTCAGTGCAAGAGATCCTGGATAGGGTGTGAGAACAACGTGGAGCAAAACTCAAAATCATAAAAAAAGACCAAGTTGACGGTCTGATAGAGCCTAGTGAGACAGCTGAGACTATGGCCCCTAGTTACCCTTCAGGTATGGAATTGAATTCACTTCTGTGGCTTCTAACCAAACAATAGACAGGCATATAAGGTGAGCATTTACATCAGTAGATACACTCTTTGGAGTGATCAGTCATGGGAGAACAGAAGGGCTGTATTTATTTGTACAGGGAGAGAGCTGGAGGTGGGGAGTGAATGGAAGGGAAGGACACAGGAAAGAGGTAACTACAGGGAGGAAGTGAGAAGAGAGCTGTTACATGGTGGGGAATTGCAGCCAATGTCATGAAACAAAATGTGTATGAACTGCTGTATGAAAAATGAATTTGCTCTGTAAACTTTCAACCAAATTGCAATAAAAATTAAAAAAAAAAACTTCAAGTGAGAAAAAAGAGAAAAGTGAATTTGAAAATTGAGAGGTCACTGGGGTGCCTAATGAGACCCATGGCTATGGAGTGCCAGAGAGAGAAGCCAAGTTGTAGGGGTGAGTGTGTGGTGCAAGAGGAGTAGAAGGATGGAGAGGGGTGGGGCATGATGAAAGTGGATGCCATCTTCAAGATGATTGGCTATGAAGAGCAGCAGATACAGTGTGTCTTGGCTTGGGATTCCCAAAATGGTGACCCTGAAATGAGGACTTTTATGTAAGTAGTTTATTTGGGAGGTAAAGAAACAATTGTAGAGAAATAGGATAGTGAGGTAGGGAAGGAAGCAAAAAGGGAGTGCATTAATGAGCAGGTTACAGCTGTGGAAAGCTGCAGTTGTTGTTATGTGTGGTCGAGTTGGACCCGACTCACAGTGATGGTGTGTGATGGTATCACCCAACCTTACTTCTGAGGAGTTGCTTGTGGGTTTGAACTGCCAGCCTTCTGGTTAGCAGTCTAGTGCCTTAGGCACTACACTACCAGAGCTCCTGCAGTTGTTAGCTGTTCTCTAATCAGTTCCCTACACATGGTGCCCCAGGCACAAAAAAAGAAAATGCTGCCCGCCTCTGACATACTATGATTGGTTGCAGATAGGATTCTTGAGATTCATAAGGTTTTCATAGGCTGGTTTTCAGAAGTAAATCATCAGGCCTTTCTTTCTAGTCTGCTTTAGTCTGAAAGCTCCACTGAAACCTGTTCATAGCAAACACTTAAGCCTGTACTGACAGAGGAGTATTAGCTACACATGAGGTCTCTTGCATGGATAAGGGAGAATTCTACCATTGAAGAACCCAAAAATCCAAACCCACTGCCATGGAGTGGATTTCAACTCATAGCAACAGAGTAGAACTGCCCCATAGAGTTTTCTAAGGCACACTGCCTCATCTTTCTCCAGAACAGCTGGTGGGTTCCAACCCTGACCTTTTAGTTAGCAGCTGAAGGCTTTAACCAATATGCCACCAGAGCTCCATCTGTACTGCAGAGGATGCCTGAAATACAGCATAGAGTATATGCCTCTCAGTAAATTCACTGAAGGAGTGAGTGAGGGGGCGTAGCCATTATTTACCCTCTCATGTCCCTCACGGATGGAGGACTGCTGAGGGGAATGAAAGCACCCTAACTCTTCTAGGACAGCCACACCACTGCACTTTGTAAGCTCCCAACAGCCAGTGAATGGCCTCAGGTGGAAGCAGAGAAGGAGACAGAGGCACAATTGGGCAAGTGCCCAACCCGAGTGATATAGGTAGATGCCTTGTACAGTGGAAGAACAGAATGGAGAGAGCCCCAGGGTGTTCTTCCTCTAAAGGACAATACAAAGGGGGAGGCGTCTGGCTAATGTGGGTAATTTATGAAGTTTATGTAACTTATGTAAGAAGTTTGCAGGAAATCTGATAGTCATTGTCCTTTCTCTATCCCTTAAGTGAATTAAAAACTATTTCCTAAAAGGAAGTTAGAGTGGGACATCAGAACCGATGGGGCTTTAAAGAACCACTCAGAAGGGGAAATCGAGGTCCAGAGAAGGGAAAGGAAGCAGCTCAACACCGGGAAATGACAGTGCGGAAGTCCAGGGCTCCCTGAGCCTGGACAAGACTGTTACCACCACAAGAGCCCTCCACCCAAACGAAACCAACAACCACGGTAAGCTCTCGGTTATCTGTTGTTGTTAAGAAAGGAAGGGAAATGGATCTTCACTTGGATACAGGATAGGGCCTTAGAGCTTTGGTTTTTAACCCATACAATGACGCTTTGAAATAGCAAGTGAAGACCTGGAGGGAATCCAGTTAAAAAAAAAAAAAAATGACCTTCCGTTAGCATTGGCTCTCAGGGCTCAGGAGGGCGCGTCCCAGTCTCCTTGCTCTCCAAAGCAGATTCCAAATGCTGCGGCTAAAACCCCGCCCATCCGCACAAACCCTCAAACCCTTTCCAACCGCCGAAGCGCGCAGGAAGAGTGCAGACAGCGCAACCAGGCGCGCAGGCCCCTTCTCGCCAACCCAGCTGGGCCCGGCCGCGCGGAATCACGGGCCGGAGGCGGGGCCGCGCCGGAGGTGGGCGCGGCGTGCAGGCAGCGCTCGCCACTTCGGCCGGCGTGCGGCCGCCTGGGCACGGAACCGCCTGCACTGAAGACCGGCTGCGAGCTGGCGCGGAGGCGCGGCCGGAGCGCTACAGTGGCTGAGGCGCGGCGGGTACCTGGGAGCAGTGGGGTCGGAAGGCTGGGCGCCGCAGGGACGTGGGCTTGGCGAGCGCAGCGGGGACTACGAAGGCAGGGACCCAGCGACTCCGGAGCGGGTTCCACGCTGAGCCTGCGCCTCAGCCGGCTGGTCCCTGCAGCGGCGGCCCGGGACGCTGGGCGCCCGGCCCTTCGCCATGTACACCTTCGTGGTGCGAGACGAGAACAGCAGCGTCTACGCCGAGGTCTCCCGACTGCTCCTCGCTACCGGCCACTGGAAAAGGCTGAGGCGAGACAACCCCAGATTTAACCTGATGCTGGGAGAGAGGAACCGGCTGCCCTTCGGCAGACTGGGTGAGCCCTTCCCCATTTCCCGCCTCGCCGCCCCCAGAAGCAGCTCTCCCACTCCTCCCACGGCCGATTAGAACTAGCGCTTTTGTTTTTAAGGTCATAAATCTTCTCCTTCACGTCTCTGACAGGTGAAAAATGGATTAATAAAGATCCAAACCCATCATTTTTAATGTCTTCCCTTTTCCAAAGTCGGATTCGGGACCGGAGTCTTGGTACGAGGCCGCAACTGCGTCCTGACAATGGCCCGTCCCTGCAGCTTCAGGGAGGGAGCGGGGGGCGTCGGCAGCCGGGGCGGGGGACCTAAAGCCGCATGTTTCCCTGTGCCTCGGACCCAAGCCCCCAAATCGGGCAAGACCGCCGGACCGAGCGCTGTGAGGGGCGAGCCTTTGCAGACGGCTGGAGTCATATGCAGCTTTTCTACACTGAGAATTCGCGAGATCGAGTAGTTGTAACGAAAACCCTGAGAAATCAGGTACTGAAGACTCAGCTATAACTATCAGGGGATTTAGTAGGGACCTATGGATTCTAAAAACAGGAGCTTCAGGAGTAATCCTAGCCTAGGGAAGAATGTCTGATTTTAGCTTTTCTCAGCTTCACTAAAGAACGTATTTTCGCAGTTGTGAGTTGAATGTAGATTTTTTTATGAAGCTGGGTTTGCCCCCTCATCCTCTGCCTCTCAGTCCCCCATTGCCCTGCTCTCTCTGAGGAGGTTACTTTTATTCACATGTTTGAAGCTGACTCGGCACCACCATATCCACATGTCATGCTGTGTTAAGGGCACAGGAGAAAAGAGGACCAGGGATTTCCTTTTTAAAAGATGTAATTGAGAAGTTGTCCAGATACTTCAACTCACATCCTGTAGACCTGAGCATAGTCTCATGAGCTCACCTCACTGCACTGTCATCTGGGAAGTACAGCCTCACTCTGGGTAGCCATGTTCTTGCCAAAATTCAGCTGGAGTGGGGGCCAAATTGCATTACCAAAGAAGAGAATTGACACTAAGGAAGAACTCTCTGCCTTGGACGGCATCTCAAAGAGATCAATGTTCTATGCCCAGGAAACTGAGAGGGTTTTTAGAAAAAGGTGTGGTCAGAGGTTGGAGAGGTTCCGTGAGCTAAGACAAGGCTATTTGGCATTGACTGGCCCAAGTCATAGGGAAACACCCCCGGATCTGACTCTATGGCAGTGAGTTTGGTTTTTTTGGAGGTCATAGAATGTTTGAATGGGATTGTAATGGATTGGGACTTCCAAGGGGTTTTATGGCATGATCTTGCTGAATTTTTTTCTTTGAAATAGTACTGAAGGCACCTTTTCCTAGTTGTACAAGTTTACCCTGCAGAGAGGAAAACGGACTTGATAGTTCTTTTATGTATGACGATGACTTCATGGAAATGCTAATTTCAACCGCTAGACATCTCCCAATACAGGGTATGTGCCTGGTGATTCCTTTTGGTTGAACTGTCTCTTCAGGAAACCTTCAGCAAAGAATAAGAAGGAGAAAGAGAAGTGCTGATAGTTGAAAACATTTATTTTCTCTTTGCTCTGTCCATTTCTCTTCCTCTTTGGATTTGCAAGACCTTGGGTCAAATCCTAATATTAAAAACCAAGGAAAATGACTCTCCGAGGGCCAAAATGGATGGTTGATTGCATTGCTGTGGTGCTCTGGCCTAGGGAGGCATAAGCAGTAGAAATCTACAGGGCCTGAATCCAGAAGTTAAAATGCATTGTGGAAGGCAGGTAGTTCAGATGTTAATGAGGTCCCCTACCCCAGAGACAGAGCCAGTTAATGTCTAAGTTTGACTATATGCTATTCTCGAATTATTCCTAGTTTTGGCATATTCAACTCAAACTTCCTTAGTTTGGTCTTATTTTGATTTTTGTTACTGAAAATGCAGTACATTTTGTTATAATTTTAAATAAAAACAGACTTTTGTGTTTATTAGTATCTTTTCTGCTCTAGTTTGATAGAGGAAGAGGCATGCAATGGTACCTGGTGAAATGAATTTTCCTTTGGGATGATACACAAAAGAAAGTTGTCAGAGCTTCCCATTTTATAGACATGGGCTCTCCATTACCTTCTTTCACCTGCTAGTGGCTCTCCTAGAAGCTTGGTTGAGAGGTAGACATGCTTAAGGACAGTAGCATCGTAGCTCTACTGCCTTCCCTGATGCCTGTAGACAGCAAGGTTAAGGATATGGAAAGCATGGCTCTATTAAAGTAGCCTTATGGTATAGAGATCTTTAATAGATGGACTTATTAATCCATATGTCCCTAAGGAGGGTTATGGTGAGGATCTGAGAGTGGTGAAACAGAAAATCCTCCTTATGCCCTTTGCCCTAACAAGAAGAAACAAAGGCAGCAGTGGCCTTTAGCAGACCCACAATATTGATATTATAGTATCCGCTGTGGGGAGGGTAAGAATTGCCAGTAGGATGCTGAGAGAAAGGGGGAGCACGGGCACAGGTAACAAAAATTGTTCTATTTCAAACAACCAGTCCTGAAATGGGAGAAAGAATGCTGGGACATAACACAGCTATTTTCTCTTCTGCATGGTGCTGACTTCGTCCTTTTTCCTTCTAAGCCACTTCTTTCCTTCCTAGGTCATGAGCCTGGGCTGATGCAGTTGGTGAATTACTACAGAGGGGCTGATAAACTGTGTCGTAAAGCTTCCTTAGTGAGGTAAGTGCTCCTTTAAGACCTGATTTTTCAATATTTTTATATATAAGTTTTTAACTTTCATGCTGAAGAAAGTAAAAAATATGGGATTATTTGTAAAGGGTAAAAAATACTTTTATATGAAAAGCAAACAAATACTTGTTCTGGAGCTTCCTCTTAGCTATTGTGATGGCAATCTGAAACTGATGTCTGCTGCTCAAAAAAAAAATAACCTGTCTGTCTCTTGCGTTAGGCTCCCTAGAAGCAGAGCCTGAGACAGGATGTCTTGTGTAAGTGATTTAGTGCGGGTGGGCTGTCAGGAGAAACCTGTCAGAGAGCAGAACAGGGCAGAGAAAGAAACCAGCAAAGAGGTGGTTTTAGGTGAAGTTTCACCTCAGTCTGACACCTCCAGGAGCTCTGGAGTGAAGGTCACTATCTTAGTTACCCAGAGCTGCCTAATAGAAATATCCCAAGTGGGTGACTTTAAAGAACAGAGATATATTTCCTCACAAAGGAGGCTAAAAGTCCAAATAAGGGTCTCGGCCATGTTAGTTCCTTCTGTGAGCCTGTCTCCTAGTTCTGGTGTCAGCCAGTGCTCTTGATATTCCTTGGTGTTCCTTGGTACCTATCCTTCCCACTCTGTGTCTTTTCTGCTCTTTGTATACATCAAAGACTAGGTTTGGGACCCACCCTACTCTGGTATGACCTCATTAACATAACAAAAGAAAACCCCTATTTCCCGATGGGATCATATTTATAGGTATAGAGGTTAGGATTTTAATACATTTTTTTTATTGGAGGAACACAATTCAATCCATAAGAAGCACTTTAAAATCAAAACCAAACTCACTGCCATCGAGTCAGTTCTGACTCATAGCAACCCTCATTGGTTTTCCAAAGCTATAAATCTTTGCGGAAGCAGACTACCTCATCTTTTTTCCTTAGAACAGATAGTGAGTTTGAACCACCAACCTTTTGGTTAGCAGCCAGATGACTTAACCAGATACATCACCAGGGCTCCTTAACAAGCACCTTAAGATATTGTGAGGCAAAGGTACTAGGCTTCTGTATCAGTCAGTCCTTGGCTGTAAGGAGAGGTGGAGGACATAGCCTTCCAAGCATTTCTGGGTAAGGGTAGATCTCAGGAGAAGGGATATACCTTGGGCAGCCATCTCTCAGAGCAGCTAGGGGTCCCCTCAGTAAGGAAATCTAGGCAGGGTATGATACTATCTACCGCACTGCCTGTCTCTGAGCAGTGGTTTATGACTAGGTACTATAAAGAATAGTGTCATAAGGTGGAAGGAACCAGTATTATAGAGTGATTGAGATCTAGGGTTAGAAGCTTGGGTTTTAGCTCCAGATCTTCCATTAGCTGGGGCATATTTTCTCATCCCTCTAAGCTTTAGTATATCCCTTATAAGGTGGTTGTGAGAATTGAATAAAGTGATGTGTATAAATCATGTAGCACAGTGACCTGGTTCATGGTATTTGACTTTGTGCGTTAGTTTCCTTTTCGGTAAAATGGGAGTAAGAACAGTAACTGGGCCAGGGTTATTGTAAGGATTGATTCAGCTAATTTCTGTAATTGAATAACACCTATCTTGTAATTTACACCATGTAAGTAAAAGCTCATATTATTATTATTACTATTGTCACTTCTATAATTGCTATCATTTCAATAGGTAAGCACTGGGTGTGGCCCCTAAAAGCCACACTGTAGTAGGTCTCCAGTATTCTCATGATGATGAGGTGAACATGTGTGTGTTACTAAACAGATCATTTAGGTAAGAAGACACTGGAAAAGATGACTCAGTGCAAAATTCTTTTTACCCACTAACATGTTTTTCTGGGCTCTACCTGCTTAACTAGGCTGAGTGTTAAGAGGAATGCTTCAACTTCTTGTTCAGACTCTCTAGCCCCAGTAATCTATGCACCCACTCTTCTCTAGGATCTGTTTTTGTGATTCATTAGCTAATCCTACAGGAGAGTAAGGCTTCCTGGAATGTTTGTATTACATGTAAGGATGAAAAGATTGTGTCATCAGAATCTGGTATAGAAGGGGGAAGACAGAAGTAACATGATTATTTATCGAGATTATTCTTTTAGAAATTTATGTAAAACATTTATTCCTCTTTTTTCCCCTCCCACAATGAGTATTTTCTTTAAAGAGAAAAGTAGAATTTTTAGTTTGATAAGTTGGAAGCAGAGGATGCTGTAAAAATAAATAAATATTTTAAATATTAATTATTAAATAAATATTTTTTAATATTTAATTAATACATATTTGCTTATTTAGTAGCTATGAGGAGGTGAAGTGAGGTTTCTTTCCTTGCCCTGTTCTGCTCTCTGACAGGTTTCTCCTAACAGTCCTCTCCTACTAAATCACTTACACAAGAAATCCTGTCTCAGGCTCTGCTTCTAGGGCCTGACCTAAGAGACAGACATGTTGATTTTTTTTTTTTTTTTTGAGCAGCAGACATTGAAGTTTCGGATTGCTTAGAGGAAGCTCCAGGACAGGCTTTTGTTTGCTTTTCAAATAAAAGTGTTTTTCACCCTTTACAAATAATCCCCTATTTTAAATTTCTTATTTTAAAAGCTTATTTAGTGTCTATGAGGAGGTCCTGGAGTCACAACCAGGTCTGAGTAGGTATCTAAACCTCTGGAACCTTGGACACTTAGCCACTCTGAATCTCAGTGCCCCATCTGTAAAATGGGGAGGATAGTAATAATGCCTACTCTTGGTCCCTAAGTGGCATGTGACATGATCTGTGATGGCACTTAGTAAATGGTAATGTAATTTATGCAGGCTAGGGCTTGTTACCAACCTTACAAGCTTCCCTCATTCTCCCAGGTATCCACCAAGAGGCTATAGTAATTCCAGGAGATAACAATTCCCTTTGTCGTTTTGTCTGCCCTCCATAATTTGTATGATTTGAAAGGACTCCAAGGAGTTAAAATTATAGTATCTTTCATTTTAGTAGGACAAAATGGTGGCTCAGAGAAGACAGCCAGGTTGCTCATGACCACAGAAATTAATGTTAAGCCATGTTTCTAATATGTACAAATGGGAGCCATAGTCAGTGTTACCAGATGTTTCTCAGAGGGATTCCCAGAACCTTGGTGAAGCTGTACAGCCAACAGCTTCCTCCTGCCACTTCAGGGAATTTCAAAAATTCATCAGGGCCCTAAAGCCCTAACCTCAGAGCCTTGAAAGGCCTTTCCTCCCCTGATCCAGGTTGGAAGCCTCCTTTTCTTTTGTCAGTATTTCTTCCTTGTAGATAAATTGAATAATTCTCTTTTTGCTATTGCTTCCCAAATGGGCTTATGAGGAAATGGGCTCATTTGCTCTGTGTAGTGGTTATGTTTGTGTGTCAACTTGGCTAGGCCTGGTTGAGTGGCGGGGCAGCTGGATGTAGTATTCCCCATGATGAGACTGATAATCAACTCCATGGTGGAATCTACTGTGAGCAGCTGAGTAGTTACCTTTGGGTATATGGTCTGCTTCCTGTATATAAGGAGAAGTTTTGAGAATGGTCTCTAGCCTTTGGCACACTTGGACCCTGCATGTAGCCATGTTGTTGCTCAGCAGCCTGCTATGCTCTGCCGACCTTGGGACTTACAGTGGCCTTAAGTTATTGGCCTGCCATGTGGATTGGTAACATCTGGACTGTGCCTTTTTACTTGTCAACCTTGGGGCTTGTCAGCCTCAGCAGCGAATAACTGTCTGAGTAAAGAAATACCTCTAGCTCCAGTGGGCCGGGAGCAGGAAGCAGAGCTGGACCCCAAGCTTGAGGGGCTTTCACCCAGGCCCTAGAGCCTGGCATTTTGAACTTGGACTTAAAGCCTCCAAATTGTAAGAATAAACTCCTGTTTGTTAAGGCCATCCCATTTGTGGTATTTTCTTGTCAGAGCGGCACTAGGTAATCAGAACACTCTGTGCACACCAAATGGCTTCCAAACAAAGGTCATTCTCAGAGCAGTGCTATCCAACAGAAAAAGCAAGCTACACACGTGTCATTTTAAATTTTCCAGTTGCTGTCAAGCTGATTCCTAGTAGCCACATTTTTAAAAGTATAAAGGAACAGGTGCAATTATTTTTAATAATATATTTCATTTAACCCAATAAATCCAAATTATTATCACTTTGATGTATACTCAATATAAAAAATAACTTCCTGACGAAAAAGGAGAAAACACAGAACAGAATTTCAACATCCCGTGGAATCCAGATTTTCTGGAGCAATGGAGGCTGGGTGAACCCGCTGAAACTATTGCTCTGAGATCATCGTTAAATTTTAAACCAAAAATATCTCCTGAAGTCTTAAAAGCAAGTAATAGTTTAACTGAACTAGTAGGAATGTCTGGCTGGAGCGTTGTGCTCATTTAAGAACTATCTATGTGGGATCAAATGGACAACAACAACTCAAAAGATTAGAAAGGGAACTTAGCGGGCATTGAATTTATGTTAATGGGGGAGGAACAACTCAGAAAAGGAATATGAGCATGATTGTACAACTTGACAAATGTAATCAGTGTCACTGAACTGTACATGAAGAAACCATTGAATTGATACATATTCTGTGTATATTCTCAACAATACCAAATATTAAATAATTATGAGCTGACTCAGCACCTAGTAACAATAACAACAGAATATATAAAAATTACTAATGAGATCTTACCTTTTTTCACTCTGAGTCTTCAAAAATCTGTTGTATTTTTATATTTATAGCACATCTTAATTTAAACATGAACTTTTCATTGGAAAATGAAATCTATAATTAGATTTCATAAAATTTATGTTGCAGCTGTACATACCCCTGTTGTTCTCATGTAAAAGTTCTTCACTCACTAAATTAAATACCAAAAAGTCATTTTCCTTTAGTACTCACATCCACACTAACAAAAACAGTTCACCATTTTTAGAAGAGTTGATTTGACTTTGAAGCAAACCAATTTAAAAGTATGTCTGTCAAAGTTAAGTGAGCTCACCAGTCATTGTGTCAACTTCATGTTGTTACTATCAAATTCAAAGGGGTATTGAATGAATTAAAAAGCAACTCTAAATTTAAATATCAACAAAGCATTCTGAAACATTTTCTTTGGTTTTTGCAACCGGTTGTTTATTACAATAAAGATCTTCTCCCTACTGAGTTATGTTAGAAAAATGTACAAAGTCATTATTATTGATTTATTAAGAAATTGTGACATAAATTCTCATACCTGTCTAGCAAGGTCACAAAGAAGCTTTTCCCTTGCTGGGAGCTTTAAATTTATCTTGTTCATGTACAGTGTGGTAATAGATAAGAAAACATTAAGTCACAGGGCTGTTTTTTTAGCTTTGATTATTGAATGGAATAATGAATTAGTGAATGATAATAATGATTCGAGCATCCCTTTTATTTCAAAGAAATCTGAATTGTAGTTAACAGTATAGTGTATCTTTGTACAACTGTTTTGTGACTTAATGATCACTGGCTAAGAACACAGTATCATTAAATTCATTGTCTTCTGTTTCTTTGAACATTCCATAAACTGATGAATCATTGTAGCATTTACAAGTATGTACTGAATCATTTTAACAATTGTATCCATGACACTTTTCATAGACTGTGCTTCAGAAAACTGAGCTCAAATGTTTTCAAAATGTATCACACAGTAGAATGAAGCAGTAAGGGAACATCAGTCTCTTTTATTCTCAGGTTGTGATAGAAACTAATTTTTTACATGCAGATGAAATTGTTTTTTGACAGGTAAAAAAGATTTTAGAATATCTCTACCATGAGTTTGATTTTTTGACAGTTTTTCTTAATATATTTGAAAGTCCTTTGAGACAAAATATACCTAAAGTATTGATTAGAATTATTTCTTATATCACATGACTCATCTAAAGATAAAGTATTTGCAATTTTCAAATTTTGACTCAACTAACCTTTGATATTGTTAGAAAGTCTTTGTATTCTGTTGGCAATTGTAGCTTAATTGAAGATCTTTCCTCTTTTTTTAAAAAAAATTATCACTTTTTGTAAAATCTCTTTTTTAGACTTTTCCTCAAAATTTCACTCTCCATCTAAAATGATTTTCATTTTTATGCAAGAATCCAAGCTATTTTGTAGCTGACCAAAGTTAAAAGCTCAGATCTTGTTGAAAATTTATTTTAAAAATTTTCATTGGGAATTTAATTCTGATTTTAGACCACTAATTTTATCGATTTTTTTTTTGACTGATGAGAGGACACTTCTTATTAAACTCACTATGCATTTGTTGACAGTGTCTTACACAACAAATCACTTTGTCTTTTGTTCTGCCACAGCAAACATTTACTATGAGATTTGTGACATACCTTCTTCCAGTTCTTTTATTATTATTATTATTATTATTCTGTTCTGGTTGTAGTACTAGCTTCTGTATCTCCCCTGGATCCTGTATCAGTTGTATGCTTTCATTTTAAATTTAAGAATTTGTCGACTCAACTCAAAATCATTTGGAGGAAAAGAAAAAGGGGGG